TGTCCCAGCCCATGGCGCAGGGTTGGAACTAGACAGTCTTCATGGTCCCTTCCAACCCAAACCATTCTGTTAGTCTTTGATTTTATGGTTTTATGAAAAGAAAACTGGAATAAAAATCCCTGGATGCCTTGAGTCCTCAGTAAGTTGGCTCTCTGTACCGTGGCTGGGTGACAAACAAGGGCTTGTTCACAGTCCCCAGGGGGGACACGTGGCACCACGGGCTGTGGAGCTCAATCAGGGGGTAAGGGATGTGCAAAGTAAGGGGTGTCAAAGAGTTTTGGCCATGGCACAGGGGGGTTCTGAGCAGCTCTAGGACAATGCCACAGTGCTTATAGGAGCTACACATCTGCTGCAAGGGGAATATAAGCAGGTGTGGAGAAGGAATTGAGGTTGCACAGTTCCCACTGAGACATCTGTGCTGTTTGTAGTCACTGGCTGTGACAGCAGCACACACAAACCTCGTGCATGGCACTGTTAGATACATCTATAAAGTACATTATGAGATCATCCAGAGATACATAAAGAAGCCCTGAATGAAACTCTGTAAAATCATAAAAGCAGAAAAACTGCCAGAACATCAGGATAGCTCAGCCTGTTCATGGAGGTGGGGGGTATGGCTAAAAGCTGTTGCACTTGCAGGCTGTGGGTTAAGCCTATGTCATTACGCCCTCCACACAGCATGTGGTTTTCAGAAGGAAAATGCTATGATATTTTGGTGTATTTGTTAAACCTACAAGGAGATGAGCAATAAGTATCCCTATTTCTCTGAGAGACACTATATCTGCAACTAAAGGAGGTTCCACTGCTATGAAGTTACCTCTTTTTCCAAACTGTGTAATGATGGGATCTTTGTTATTTCTTTGTTGTTGTGTATCAGTTCTTAGGAGGGTGTGAGATCACATCTCCTTCATTCATAACAGGAGGAAAAAAACTGGGCTGAAAATAGATTTCTGCAGCAAAGTAAAAGAAAAGCAAAATCTGATGTGTACAAGAAATGCATCTGCGATTCACTTGTAAATCTAAACAGGGAGAAAATGACTGACAGACAATGTACAAATAGTTCTTGTAATAAACATCTGAGTTCATACTGGTTTCTACAGCCACTCCCCACCTGTTGCATACTCTACAGCCAAATTGGGAATTACGGCCTTCCTGTTGTTTTCCAGTTCCTCCTCTGCTAAATAACGGGAGGAGAACGGATTATGGAAACTGATGCACTTGACAGCAAAAATAAATAAGCAAATGCATACATAACTAACTAAATAAATAATTAATCTCGTAGTCTCCGAGACAAGGCTCTTCTATCATACGTCTGGTATCTTGAGCCAGACTTCAAGGGTTATTCAAGAAAAATTATGATCTGGTACCTCAGAGAATAAGACATAAGTATCAATGCTTAATTAACACTGCATGATGTTGATTTGAATAAATAGAACCATTTAGAAGGATGTCTCTCTATATTGTGGGTAGAAACAGGATGCCTTGTGGGAAGAATGAGAAGCTCCCTAGGATTATGTAAGTTCTCTATGGTTATAGCACCTGGAGGCTTTGAGTGTATCATGAGCCCAACGTGTTAGATGCTATATAAATATACAGTTGCCAAAGATGCTTATCTTGGATTTGTAGTGTAAACAAGAAGATATGCCACGCGGTTCTGGTGACAGGTTGATCAAGGCTAAGAAGACAGGGATCTAAGGAAATTTGAAAACACATACACATTGTTTAGCAGGGGATTTTCACAAAACTTATTCCCAAAACTTTATCAAAATAAAGTGCTTGCCAAAGTCCCCAAAGACATAAGAGTTGCCTTATGGTGTTTAATAGGAAAATAGAAAGGAAAAGCGTGCACAGGTTGCCGCAGAATAGCATGACAGCCAACAACAATCGGTGTTTTCAAGCTGGGTACCAGATGACAACTACCTAATGCCATCTTTCCTCACCTGAGTTAAAGCAGTTTGATCAGCAATGAACCACAGTTTCCACTGAGAGCTGCAAGAGGACAGCAGCTCCAAAAATCATCCTGTTTCCAGATCAGTGTTGGTGGCTCCTGAGAAACACTCTATGTATCCTGAGGCAGGTTGTTACTTTTAATGAGACCATAAAATAACAGACCCTGTTATTTGTACTGTTCATATTCATCTTGTGTGTGCGTTGAAGAGGGACACAAGGTGTTTATAGGGCTGGAGATCTTCTCCTGTGGAGACAAGCTAAAGGTGTTTGGGTTATGCCTGGAGAAGAGAAGGCTACAGGGAGATCTTAAAGCCCCTTCCAGAACCTAAAGGGAGCTACAAGAGAGCTGAAAGAGGGACTTTTGACAACGGCATGGAGGGACAGGACGAGAGGGAATGGCTTCAGACTGGCAGAGGTCAGGTTTAAATTGGGTATTAGGAAAAAATTATTTCCTGTGAGAGTGGTGGGGCACAGACACAAGTTGCCCAGAGAAGCTGTGACACCTCCATCACTGGAAGCATTCAGGACCAGGTTGGATGGGGATTTGAGCAACCTGGTCTAATGAAAAGTGTCCTTGCCCATGGAAGGGGAATTGGAATGACATGAGCTTTGAGGTCCTTTCTAAATGCAAACATTCCATAATTCCAAGACTTCACAGACAGTATTGGACCAGCTAGTATGGCATACCTGGGAAGCAGCTCTGGACAGACCCCTTGAGGGGAAAACGTGCCTCATAGCTGGTATGACTGACTCCACTACCCAGCTGGACATAACTGGGGAAAAACTCTGTGATTCCACAGGAAATAACTGATTTGGATTCTATTATTGCCTCTTTGACCTTATGTCACTACTCACATCTCCTGGAAGCAAAAAAGTTATCAAATGCATCATGGTTGTGAAAAACTCCATTTTGCAATGAGTAGCATTTTGTAATGAAAAAGTCTTTGGATTGCATTGACAAGTAAGAATTCACCTTCAGTAAAAAGCCATTTAGACGTGTCCTCTGAAATTCTTGTCTCTTAATAGAGAGCTTGTCATGTGCAGCAACTCCCAGCCATTTGAGAAGTTTTACTTTAGAGATTTACTCTTCTTTTCCTTACTCCGCTCAGTTTTCTGTCACCTCATTATAATGTTATCACTTACTATGGAACCTTGACTTTGAAAATACTCTTTCTCTTTTTCTTTTTCTTTTTCTTTTTCTTTTTCTTTTTCTTTTTCTTTTTCTTTTTCTTTTTCTTTTTCTTTTTCTTTTTCTTTTTCTTTTTCTTTTTCTTTTTCTTTTTCTTTTTCTTTTTCTTTTTCTTTTTCTTTTTCTTTTTCTTTTTCTTTTTCTTTGTTTTTTTATGCCTAGTCATTATCTTGCAGTGAGATCTTTCTCAGGCATTAACTTTTTGAACTCTTGCTACAGACACAACATTTCATCTCACACCAGCCCTAACACTTCCCTGCCCATGGCAGGGGGGGATTGGAATTAAATTATATTTATGGTCGCTTCCAACCCAAACCTTCCTATGATTCTAAGATTATGGGGAAAAAAGCAATTTAATTCCTTATAGGAGTACATAGTTTCTCCCTAAGGAGTAAAGAACAAAATCCAGGACATAATTCGCAGGCAAAATTTCCATGCTTTGGGAACTGCCTCTTCTTTCTTATGCCAGTATCTGTGTAGTGCTGGTGATTAAAGCACTGATGTTCACGAATCACTTTCATTCTGTCTTGCAAGTACACATAATTGTGCATCAATTTCATTTAAATATCACTTTATATTAATGACTTTGACTTCTAGAACTCCTCCTACTGTACTTGTAGTTGTAATATTAACAGACCTTTCTTTCTCTCCATTCATCAGTCATGTCAAGACTTCCCAGGCTGAAGTGAACATTTGCTGGTTCTTTATACGGCAGGAGCCACAGGTGCCCCAGCCTTTCAGTTCTAGGTGAAAATTTCTTAAAGATCATCCCTCAGCAACATTCTCTAAGAAAGTGTGTTTTGATTTGAAAGGCAACTAGACAATCTCCAGTGGTCCCTGCCAACCTTAAATATTCCACAATTCTTTGATTCATGCTTCTGCTTCTCTGCCATTTCCTTGTAATGTTCTGTCTACTGAATAGTCCCAGCTTTGCTTGAGATGTCCCAGCAAAGATCTCCAAGAAACCTTCCCTCTTGATCACTGTGGACAGTGCCACCATCCTGTCACATGCCTGTAACCTTGATATCATCTTCAACTCCTGTGCATTCCAGAGGCCACTTCCCAGTTACATTGAAGCTACACAATCATTCCAAGTATGTTCTGTATATCATACTTCAGATAATGCCTTTCCTTGCTCTCTACCCATCTAAGTAAATCTCTTATCTCAGACCTTATCTTTGAACATGTCAATTACTGCAGAATTCCTTTCTGTCACTTACATCACAGATGTAAATTTGCCCTGATGATATTCCCTGGATACAAAGGCTATTTTTCCAGATATAGCATTGATTTCCCTTCCCCATTTCTATCAAAACTAGGCTGTCTGCATCCAATCAACCAATGCAGTCATTTTCCATAGTCTATGCACTAGATTTTCAAACGAGTGTTTTGTATTTTCTTTCATGCTGCTCTCCATAAACACATATAAAATTACCTTGCTAGTGCCTTTCTTTCTCTGTAGCAACATCTTCCCTGAAAAGGACTAGGTTGCAGGTGTGCTATTAGCATTGCCTGTCATACTGACCAGCACTTTCTTATTGTGTCCATGGGTCTCCTCTGTCTGTCACTATCCACAGCTTCTTGATTTCTACTAAGATGTAAATAATTTCATGCAGAGAATGCCTATGTTTCTAGAGTGCCTGGCACAACATAAATGAATCCATGAATGAGACTGATGCAAATTATCTTTGTCAGCTAATAAAAATAGACACGGGTCAATAATAGACACATTCTAGAGGAATTAGTGAAATTCCTCATGACTCCAGTTAGAGAAATCTCAAGAAACATTACAACGATCATAATTTTATTTTAAAGAACAAAACATGATTAAAAAATCCCAGGTACTGGAATTAGTACTCACTTTTGGTAGCTGCCTTCTTAAAAATATCTAGGAACAATCCATCAAATGCTTCTTGTAGGATACTGTTTTAACCTAGGCGTGTCATTCTCAGTCTACCTGAAAAATACATAGACATAGAAAAAAATCAGTGTTTTGTTCAGGGATTTTTAACTCATTTGCTATAGAAAAATTAATTAAAAACAAATGTTTACTGTTATACAGGGTATCTAAAACAGTCATCTATACATATGTGGTTCCTGCTGTAATATCTGATCAGCACTAATAGGGTATGCATAGTCATCTCATAAAACTAAATGCATTTGTTAAATACAAACTAAGTTTTCTGTACAGCACTCAGAATTAAATGCCTGTCCTTGACCAACTGTGCAAACATCCATCCATTTGCCAAAAGAGTAATTCATCAATTCCTCTGCTGGAGGTTCAAGAGTTTCCAGTTAACACAGCAATTGATCCTTTCCTCTTCTGTGTTTTCACAGGCTTCAGAAGGTAAAAATGATTTTATTTTAAATTTATATGGTTATCCTAAAGATCTCCTTTCTTAAACCTTCTTCCTTTGTTAGAGAGAAATGGCTGAGATCTTCCAGAGATGCCTCTTGCTGTTTCCACTCACATCAGTAAATTATATCCTATCTGAGTTGTGTGTGGCATCGAAGAGTCCAAATTCAATGATGCATGTGTCACAAACTTATCACACTACAAGTAGGAGGTTCAAAGAAAGTGTATAGCAGCACTGGGGCTCCTCTTCTGCCTCATTAGCTAGTTAGTCTCAAGTCCCTTTTCTTAGCTCTTTTCCTTGTTTCAGGGAGACCATGTCACATATAGACTGGGAAGATGGAGAACACAACAAGAGTGTGTGTGTAGTTTCGCTGAAAGCTACGTTTGCCAGACCCATCAGCTCTCCCAGGCTACCCACTTTGTTAGATACTCATCTATTTTACATTCACTCTGGTGCACAAGGTCTTGCAGAATTGGAAAAAACAATACAATTAGAAGGCTGAGTGATATGGCAGCATACTGTCAGAGAAGTGAAATTCCATGTCTTGGCAACTTCCTTCTGTATATATGGTTCAAAACTGCACTGACCTTTGAATCTTGCCAGTTGCAAATTAATTTTCAATGCAAGCTGTCTATTGAAAAGGTGCAAAGGTCACCTTTAAATAGCTGCTCTGCTACATTGTCCTTTACTCCATGATCCACATCCTGTGTCTTCTTCCCATTAATTCTGCTTCTTCAAGAACACTCCTTGGTGCTGATTGTATCCTCATACAGATTATTTCTCCTCCACTGCATTTTTCAAAGCTGCATCTCATTTTGTCATTTCCTGCCTAAGGTTTCTAGTCTCTCTATTTTTGCTGATTTATGCAGTGCCTCCCAATTTGGATCATTTGTGATTTTAATTAACATGTACTCTTTTCCTGTCTTCTGGCTAATGAATGAAGATATTTAAAGAAGACTGGACTCAGAACCGTTCCCTGATGTTCCCCCACTAGAAAACTCATGTGATTCAACACATTTTCATTTATTATCTCACTTCACTAATGGCCCTGTGGATGGTTTTTAATCAACATCACAGAGTCCTTATCTAAGCCAATCTGAAATAATTTTGTGAGTATCCTCTCTTGCTGATGCTCACTTCAAATAGAAGAAAACAAAAGCAAAAGAGGCCATCACTCTCCAGAATGCTTTTCTGCAAGACCTGTAAATGAGGAGTTAGTGAGAATAAATTGTTCACTTTCCTTTCTCAGGACTCTGGTAGACTTAGGATCCCCTGTCACCATAATACCCACACTCCTTATATTTTTAATATAAGTATTTTAAAACTGTTTGTCAAGGCAGGGAAGTGTTATTATTCCCACTTTGGAGAATTAGCTCCAGGACAGAAAATTTAAGGAAGTGGTCTGCTCTGCTCTGTTAGCAGTCACGGTCAGAAACTGAGGGTTTAAGGTTGCTCTTGCATTTATACCTGTCTTTGAAACTTACTGTGACATGCTGACCTGTGTATCTCTGGGATGACCCATCAAATACACCATCAAAGTGATTTCATCCCTTAAACAAAAAAACCCAACCAACCAAACAAACAAACCAAATCAACCAAAACAATCCAAAACCCTAAATGACAGTGTATCCATATTTATATCATGATCTGAATGCCATTTTGAAAGAACCAGCCCAAATAATGTAAAGTGATTTAGAAAAGGTGAGACTCAGGTGTTCAGAACACATAACTGCATAATCCAGACCATAGGATACAGAATAAGTCTTATAGCAGTATCTGTTGGATCTGGTCCTTAAAGGTATTTGGGCATCTCCTTCTCACTCAGCTGAGTTTTGAGATATTTCTGAAGTCCAGGACTAAAGTGTTTTCCCTAATGTTATACAGGATGTTTATACTGGATTTGAATCCAGATTCACAAAGTCTAAAATGTGGTCCCCACTTAAGAACTTCTTTCCTATCAAGAGTATAATTATGTCATGTGATGGACAATGCAGCTCCAGTCATGGCTCTATGTTCACCAAAAAGTAGGGTCCCACTGACTACATGCACACCATCCTGCACCTCCTGATAAACAGTTTTAATATGGCAGCTACATTCCTTCTGGATGAAAATTAAAAAACACCTTTCTGCTACAGCAAAAAGGCATGTATAACATGAATTTATCTATGTAGGTAATTTGTTTTCTGAAATATTAATTGATGTTTCTGAATTAGCTCTGAATTATTATCAAAATTTTATGTGGTTTTTAATAAAAGCCAGCAGGACTTTTTTCAAATATTGCTAGTATCCCCTCTTCCCACCCACCCTTTTTATAAATCAAGACCTGTGGGCAAAAAGAAACAAACAAAACCCTTCCACCCTAATGAAAAGAAAAAAAAAAAAAGAGAAAGGAAGAAAAAGAATGAAAAAGGAAAAAGAGACAGGGACCAAATATTTCCAGAAGCATCAGCAATCATAAAGAAACCAATCACAAGCTAAGAAATTATCTATGGGAGCACAGAGGGAGGTAACAATATGAAGAAGACAATTTAGAAAATATTTGCAGGAGCAACATTTATAAATACGCATTATATCTTTTAAATATGTGTCCAAATTAATATGTTTTCTTGCTTCTTCCTTTCCCATTAATATATTTAGTACAAGAAGATATGTAGTATAAAATATTGTCACCAATATTCTCTTCATATTAGGAAATAATTACACAGTTTTTTCACTCCAAACTTTTAAACGTGGCCCAGTTGGAAATGAATTGCCTTTGACTTGCTAAAAATAAACATGAGAAACTTAATCTAAGTCCATCACCAGTGCAATTTATACTATACACCACTTCTATAAGGTGTAATTAACAGTGCATTGCTATAATTTATTTGCTTTAAAAAGCCTGAAAATCAGATCCTTACAGCAAAATGGGAAAATGGGAAGCTATATGCCAGGCATATTATTCTGGCTTATATTAATTCAGTTATTTTACCTTCAGTGCACATCCATCTATCCATACAATGTGAATGCTCCATTGAGAATGATGCTGGGTACTGAACCTTTGGCTCAATATGAAATACGAACTCTGAACCATAGCTCCAATAATACTTCCATTTGCATTATTATGATTAACATTCCTTTGAATAGGAAGCATCCAGTAATATTAATTGCAGAAATAGTGAGATTACAGTTGTCATAAATCACTGTGCAGTGTAAAGCAAGCTCTCAGAAAACAGCACAGAAAAATTCTCTTGTGGTTTCTTTTTTTTCTGAGTTCACTTCAGCCTCATTTTAACCAGGCTTTTTCATTTGTGTCATTGACAAGACAGTAGTTATGCTTTTCTCTTGATTAACACATTATTTTCAGTAAGGTCCCAAACAGCTTTCACATGAAAGGTTGAATCCAACAGAGCATGTTTTTTCTCATTACTTAGCATTCACCCACAGGTAATTTATCACAAAGATACTCCCTGTCTCACAGGAAGGAGATTGGCCTTGAAGCCAATGTTCTTGGGATGATCAGAAGTTTTCTCCACAACAGTTGAAATGAATGCCTTTTCAAAGATGGTGATTGCTGAATTAATTTAGTAAGTGAAAATATGGGAGGGGAAAAGATACACAGTTTCTCTATTAAAGCACAAAGAGATATTTTGCCTTATTTGAAGAAACTTCATCACTAAATCTATATGATTGTATTGAAATTAAATTTATATATTTTTTATATTTGTATCAAGTCAACATTTCCCCTTTACTGCCACTTCTTTCTTACACAGTTAGCAAAACTGTCAATATTCATTGATTCATCAAAGCAAGCAACCCTGACATTTGGTGCATCAGCTTTCATTTGTAACAGGCCTACGATGCAATGATTTATTTTGATGTATTACATTTTACCCTAAAGAGCATCCAAAAATAAAAAGGCTTTCATTAAAAGTGTTGTGAAAACAAGGCATCTTCATCAGGGACCACACACAAGGAAAGAAAAATTTCTTGCCACCTGTGCTCTTTAATCCAGACTTTTGATGGTTGGATTGCTTTGGAGTTTGCTTGCTTGGTGATTTTTCATACATGCTATTTCCAAATATATCATATATTCAAAAACAAACTGAAGGGTCTAAGCAGTGTGGATAGAGCAGAGATTTTCCTAGCTGGTGTCCTGCTTTGACTAACTCACAGTAGGTGAGGTGCCCCTCAATTACTGTGGTATCAACTGAGTTCCAAATGACAGTGCCCACCTTGCAAGAAAACGCCTTTCCTGAGATAATTAGTGCCAACCTCAAAGACACAAGAAATGGTCATAGATGGCCTGGCTGCTTAGCTGCCAGCAAAAGGGTGAGGAAAGGTCATGGACATATCCTCACCAAAGACATTCATACTAACTGGCTTTTCTGGCCAAGAATACTTTAGTCCCCGTCTTTGCTCCTGATTGGAGGACACACAAAGCAGTTATACATTTTCAGGTAGGAAACATGCTCCAACTGCAAATAATTCTTTTAGCAGATATTTGCCATTAAGAACAAGTTTAAATCTCACTGGAGACAGCAGACTTTAACACGTGCTTGAAGTCAAGTGTTCCCTGAGAGGGCTGTGGCTTAATGGGGACAGTCCAATGAGCTGGAGA